CGCTAAGCTACTTGCAAGACTTCAGAGATTTTCGTCCAAAAAAAATTAAGCTGCATGACAACTAACCTCGAGGATCTGCTTCGACCAGCGTAATTTCCTCCTTCACCGGGAACTTGCAAGCTTGACATGACTACAAGTACAACTGCCGAGAAAATTTAATGTGGTCATCGGAGTGAATGACATCAAATCATCTTCGAAGTACGGCAATTTTAATCTCAAATCCACCTGTACTTCTGCGTTTTCTCCAGGACGTCAAATTAAGTGATCCTGCGTTGTCGACGTGACCTTTCATCAGGGACGGACGGTGTATCCATAGCAACGGCTAACGACAGCTGAAAAATCACTTCCGGCGAACGTCCGTGACACCCAAAGTCATCGATGCTTAAGGTCCCTAATAAGTGAGAGGTACGTTGCCTGGTTTTGTTTCCGACAGATGGCTTGTGAACAACAATCACACATCGACCAGCTCAACAGTGCCTGAGGATCTGGTCCTCCAGTCCGACATGGAGGAGAGTGCCACTTGTTCCAGACCAAAAGCTGAAACATCATGCGCGGATGGCGACTGTCTCCAACAGCCACTAACCGTCATCTTACCACCTTCTACAACCTCTGCATCCGCGCAAGACTTACGGCCCTCGAGAACTCGTGAGTTACGAACCTCAAGGACTCGTGAGTCTCGTTCAAAAACGCCCACACCACGTTCTACATCGCGTTCCCAAAGAAGATCTCATTCATCCAGACGCCATCGAACTTCTAATTCAAGAAGGATACGGTCGACATCCTCGTCCACTTCGCCTCATCGAAGGACGCGAGAGAAAATGAGTCGCCAAGAAAGACCACGAAAGGAGAGGACCACTCCTCCCAGTAAGTCTGCTTGAAGATTATGTATTTGTCTTTCTCCCCTCACACTTAGCGTATTCATTAATTTCAGGACGGTGTTACAACTGTGGGAGGATTGATCACCTCCGGAGAGAATGCAGGGAGAAGAGGCGAAGAATGCCGAAGCGGAACGTAACACCAATAATTAATGGGGGGAATACGACATTCAACTTAAAGTGATGTCGCATCTCTCCCCTAACTCATGCTAACTTCACGCTAACGTCTTTCTTTAACATCATATTAACCCTAACCTTCATTGACTATCACTTTATGTTCTTCCATCCCAGCAACAATGAGCTCATTTGGTCAGTGAGTGATACCCCCAACATGATAGCTCATGGTGAAATGCAACAGTGTTCACCATGAGTTGTCGTGGATGGATAATACCGCTTTAGTTGGGGGGACTGGGAAACCAATCTTAACCATACATAATAAAAATTGCAAATCTGTTTATGTCTCGATGTAATTATTTCGAGATTGTTTCAGCTTCACAAAGACTCGGGGTTATAGGAGATTGAACATTACAAATCTAGAAAATTCTGCTTCACAATGATAGGAAGAGCCGACATCGAAGGATCAAAAAGCAGCGGAGCGCCCCAGTTGTCGGCTCTGAAAATGCCCAAGAGACTCCATCAAAATGAAACAGGGTTGGGGGGTGGGAAAGACTAGGGAGTACAGACTCAGGGCGGATTTCGAAGCAACCGAAGTACCATCGGCATGATCTTTAGTCTGCGGCAGATCCAAGAGAAATGTATAGAACAGAATATGCAACTGTATGCTGTATTCATAGACTTTACTAAAGCCTTTGATTCTGCGTCATGATCAAAGCACTACATGAAGGGATGCAGGCCCAAGTAGTTCAAGGTAAAGACATTTCCAAGAAATTTACATCTACTTTATTCTCATTATACCTAACAGCAATGCTGAAAGTAGCATTTAGGAACAGACAAGACATGGAGAAGATCTCTTCTATGTGTCTCACTTCAAGGCAAAAACTCGCACTACTAGGTACTTAGTTCGAGAGATGCTGTTTGCTGATGAACTGCCCTGGTGGCTCACAATACTGCAGATATGCAACTACTTGTTGATGAGTTTGCCAGGGCTGCCGCTCAATTCAAACTACTTAACCCTCCTCCTGGGCCAGAGGTGGTAAACCAGGAGCCACTCGTACAAAGCACTGATTTTACCTACCTTGGAAGTAATGTCTCGAACACTGCTAGCATAGACAAGAAGGTTCAGAATAGAATGGGAAAGGCAAGTGCTGCTTTTGGTAAACTCCAACACCGGCTGAGGAAAAACAAACACGTTTCCATCCGAGCCAAGTGCAAAGTCTATAGAGCAGTGGTACTATCAAGCCTCTTTTATGGAGCAGAAGCATGGATAATATACAGGTCACAGGTTAAGAAACTACATGCCTACATGATGAGACAGCTGAGACATAATGAACAGCAGATGGACTGATAAAATCAAAAATGAAGAAATCCTACGCTGGGCAGACCTGTCATGCATGACTGACATACTGATTGAGAAAAACTTTAGATAGTTGGGACACATGCACAGGATGGAAAACGACCGGCTCCCCCGACAAATGCTCTACTCCCAGCTCTGTGAAGGAATCAGAAACCAAGGAAGACATAGACTCAGATAGAAGGATCCAGCGAAACGAAATATGAAGTGGAGAGAGAGACAGAAAATCCTGGCAGACTACAGCAAATAACAGGAGATTTTTAAGAAAGAATTGAGTGCTCTCTTGGATCTAGTTATTTCTAACCGCCCCGACGTGATTTGCATTGGAGATCTCAATTGTGATTTGTTACATCCCATGGATAATGGAAAACAAGGAAGAGAATTGCTAGATATCTGTGATGTCTGTGATCTTCATAACTTAATAAAAGGTTCAACTAGGATTTCCTCCTCGAAAGAATCCTGTCTGGATGTAACATTGAGCAATGTACCCTCATTTGCTCTGAAGTCTGGTATTGTTGACCTTGGATTGAGTGACCATATGCTAATTTACACAATTTTTAATAAGAAGTTATTGAACCCGAAAGCCCGCCCAACAAAAGGAAGGTGTTTTAAAAAGTTAAATGAAGAGGAATTTAACAAAGATCTGCAGCTCGGTCCGTTTCATGCGGCTTATGTATTTGAGGATATAGATGACATCTACTGGGTATGGGAAGAGTTGTATAAAAATATATTGGATGATCATGCCTCCATCAAATGAAGAAAAGTCAGGGAAGTCTTCCGTCGATCGAAATTTATCACCCCAGAAATAAAAGCCATTAGTCACAGGAATGCTGTTAAGCGAAAATATAACAAGTCAAGAACGCCTGACAACTGGGAGGCATACAAGATTATGCGTAACCGTCTAGTAACCATGCGACGCAAGTTCGTGATTAATCACTTTGGTCAGTTTTGCTTAAGTGCCGCTGGGAAACCCAAAGAGTTCTGGAACTCACTTCGTCCTCTGATGCATTCAAAGACATGCGCACCAACTGAATGCATCACACTCAAAGAGAACAATAAAACAATTAAAGATCAGAATCAACTTGCAGACATTCTGAATAGTTAATTAAAAAATGTGACAGAAAGCCTGTCAAATATTCCAAGGAGCTGGAATCAAGATGAACAGTTCGAGTTCGATTTATTAATCACGAGTTGGTCAAGACTGCTCTACAGAGAATGAAAGCAAACAAAGCAACTGGTTATGACTTGATACTACCACGTGCACTCAAGGTGTCTATTCCATCAATTACACGGCCTCTTAGTCATGTAATTAACACTATCATCATTTCGAGAGCAGTCCCTGACTCTTGGAAACGAGGAGAGATCGTACCACATCATAAAAAGGACTCACAATTAGAGAAGGAAAATTTCCGACCAGTCACAGTTCTTCCAGCAATGTCTAAGATCTTTGAACATCATATTCATCAACAATTGACAGTTCACTTAGAGAAGATTCTTCATAATTCTATATTTGGATACAGAAAATATCATGGGTGCCCGACGGCACTCCTTGCACTTACTGAACAGTGGAAGTATGATCTTGATAATCTTAACATTATTGGCACAGTGGCCATTGATTTAAGTAAGGCCTTTGACTGTCTACCACATGACTTAATTCTGGAAAACTTAAATTCTATGGCTTAGGTGATCAAGCGCTATCTTTAATGCGAAGCTATCTCTCTTCTCGCCATCAAAGAGTGAGGCTCGGCACCGCCTTCTCCACGTGAGAAGGGGTGTTAAAAAAAGTCCCTCAGGGCTCTGTCTTGGGACCTACATTGTTTAATATTTTTATAAATGATTTGGCGTTTGCGATAACACGATGCAGGATTATTAACTATGCGGATGATACAAATATCCATTGTTCCAATAAGAACGTACGTGCCGTTGAAGACAACCTAAATAGTGATCTTGAGAACGCAACTACATGGTTTATTCAAAATGGCATGAGAACAAATCCGGAAAAGTAGCAGGCTATGGTACTTGGCAGAACAGAAGATAAGCTACTCCTTCAATCGGGTAAAATTGTTATCAGAACCGCAGAAAAGACTAACCTCTTGGGAGTTGTACGCGGTAGTAAGCTTAAATTCGATGATCAAGTTTCGAGTATTTGCTGCAAAGTGAGTGCTGAAATAAAGGCGCTTAATAGACTGAAAAATATTTTACCACTTAAAACCAAGGAATGTTATATCGTTCGTTCATACTACCGAATTTTTATTACTGCAACCAAGTTTGGCACCATTGCGGAAAAAGAAACACTGCATAACTCGAAAAAGTCAATGAAAGAACGTTGAGATATGTCTATAATGATAAACATGCATTTTATCAGCATCTCTTGGATAGTATAAGACTACCCTCCATGGAATCTCGAAGAATTAAAGACATGTTACTGACAATACATAACAGGATATCGAACAAAGCACCACGGGCAATTAAGAATCTTATTAACTTACGCTCATTTAAGTACAATCTCAGGTGCCAAGAATACGTTTTATCTTTACCTAAAGTTAACACTACCAAATATGGACTCAAGTCATGGAGATATTTTGCAGCCAAGAAATGGAATGAACTCTCAAATGATATTAGAATAAAAGCGGGCACCAAAGAAATATATAGCGGTATTTATTAAAGAAAGTTTCGCTTTTCCGTTTTGTTGGTATTGACAACAACTTAACGCGTAAGTCCCCACACACACGCACGCACGCACACACACACACACACACACACACACACACACACACACACGTTATTGTAGGTGCACGTCATCCTGTATGGAGTAATGTTTCCATCAGCTGTCGTTTTGAACTTTGGCTGTCTCGTCTTGTTTGTTATGTCTTAATGAAGGGTAGCAAACTCAAGTTGTACAAGATGAAAAGATGCAGCTATCTTTCTTGAAGGAGGTTCGAGGTTCCCTGACATTTTTCCGGTCGTTTGCTCCTTAAGCACAAGCTCTTTCGAGTGATAGGTCGCTTGTGATATCATGATCATCCAAACATATTTTGAGAAAACACGGAGACTGAAGTGAAAACCAGGCTTCAGCAAACTTGACCTCCCGTATCTACTGTTATCTTTATAAATAACGTATTATCCCGAGCGTATCCCCGGGTCCGTAAGGTGCGATGTGCTATGAAGGTCGGGCATCCCGACGCGATGTTCATATCTGATGTGGGTTTCTTGAAACTGGAGCTGTTAGGATCAGGACGAAAAGAATCCGTAACATCCGCTGATCCCCCCTGATCCAACAGTCTGAAGGTCACTTTATGATGAAATGGCCAAGGTAATAAAGCGTCGTATTCACCTCTCATAACTACAAAAAACAGAGACATGTATTCGTCTTTACCGATTCCATCACCGTTCGGATAGGCTCTCGCACAAACTTTGTATCCAAACCGACCTACATAAAACGGAGGACTGTATATGGATGGCGTCCTACCGTTCTTAGCCTCCTGAAGTCTTTTTGGCCAGGCATCAATTTTCCATATATACATTCCTTCATAGGATGTGGCTTCAAGCATTTGAATTTTAATATCTTGTTCGGCGAGGTTGATATCATGCAATGCTAACTGATGCTCGTGTCTATCGAGCCGCGCTGAACTGGACCCTGCAGTACTGTGCTCCACCACTGCCGTCGCCCTATTATTCATAGCCCGCGTTGCTTCACGTTTTAAGCTTGCAATTTGAGTTTCATGTTCTCGGATTGCCAGTCTAAATTCCTCCAGCTGAGCCGACACCTGTTCTATGGACGGTAAATTAGATAAACTGCCGAGCTTCTGCTGAATTCCACTCAAGTTGTTCTTCTGATCGGATAAGGTCCGTTCAATATGATCAACTTTAGTAAGAAGAACACGCATGTCGCGCACGGCAACAGCAAGTGCTTCCCTTTGATCGTCAAGCTGTGTCTGTAGACTAACCTTATCCGTTCTTAAAGTGATAATTGTTTGATCCATTTCAGATAGTTTTTTCTTGAATCGAGTTAAAGTTCTGACCGTAAGGTCCAAGTGTTCTTTTGTCTGTTCTGAACAATGTTCTTGGACGATGTTTCTAGGGCCCTAGGAGGTATTCAAGGAAAAAAGTATATTTACATATCCAACAGAATTCTCTTATTCCAAGATCATCAATCATAAAATAACACGTGCATGATTGGTCGACGATGCATGAATAAGTACAGTACCGCACGCGTGTACTACAAAACCCACTTTCAATGCATGTAGTTTCGTGCGTGGAGTAGAAAAATTACACCAGCTTGCAGCGATCGGGTGCCGCATAGGACAATATTGTGTGCCCAAAAAGTAAAATGCAAAAGTTAAGTATATATGGCATGGATCAAATAAATGCAGTGCTCAACATATATACGGCATGGACCAATATATATGGCATATAAAGCTCTGCTTTCATGTCCAAATTGAGCACTATGGGACGAGTCATTGCAGCTAGCATTGTGCATAGCTAGCTCACTAGGCTCTTCTAGTTTTAAGCACTCTGGCGTGGCTTTGACGATACCACAAGTGTGGGATCGTTTGGGGATCCATATCGGTTCTCCCCCATCCTAGCATCAGCACTGCACTGATGAGCCCCAGAAGGCCGAAAGAGCACTGTCTGGAGTTATATATATTGGCGTTTATTTTTAACATATAAATCATTCACGAAAAAATGTATATCGGCCGTAGGACAAAAGTACGAAAAATATATACGGCTATTGTGCCCGTTATCGCTTTGGCCAGCGGTGTTATTTTGGAAAGCGGGAAAACTTTGCATCTGATCGAGGAATCGAGCAGAGAAGGAATAATTATGGCGAACTCTACTCCCACTGTCGACTTCCTTGTTTGACGGATTATTGATCATCCTCAATTCAAAGAAGCCTTGCAAGCTAGGTCTTCCGATAGTTGAACAAATATTTAGAAACTGACTTCTTGAGCCGATGATTTCTTCATACAAGAGATAAAGTGGCTCGAGTAAACTTTCGCCAGTGCTTTGCACTTCGCACTCAAATATGAAACACCTAACAACGTATGCATGATCCAACCTCGTTTCTAGGGTCTCTCATCTTCCTGCCCCCTGGAGCGAGCGAGGAGAGACCCTGGTTTAGGCTGGTCACGTGTCTCCCAGATTTTAGGAGATTTCAAATTGGCGGTTTGAGGGAGGGGCAGATAAGTGGGATTTTCTCTCCACTTAGTCCACTGGCGAGCGTAACTTATTGGCAATAAAAACAAACTACACGTGAAGCGCTTCAATCCGAATGCCAACTGAGAATATTCAGCAGACGCCCAAAAAGATCAGTATATCTTCCACTACGGTAAATATCAATTGTTGCAGGCTTTGTAAATCAGTTGGGGACGTATCTTTTTCGAAGAACATCTATGCGAAAGGAAATCGCGCATCGCTCGCCGCCGCCGAGGTCATTTATGGCCGGCCGTTGAGACAAGAAAAATTTTTTCCACATCTATTATGTAGGCCTTGAAAAGACGCTTGAAAAATTTTATTTCTTTCAAAACGGTGATCAGTGAAAGTCCGAGTTTTATCGAAACGGTGAAGGGATGTACAGAAATATCACAATCTGTGTCACGCACCCTGGCTATGATGCAAGGGAATCTGAGAGAAGCCGTCGCGGTCTAAATTTCGTAAAAGCACCAACACAAATGCAGTCTTTGGCTGGAAAAGAGGTAAACAACTGTATCTTCGATAGTGTTTTGCCAGATTTGTTTTTTGTTACGTCTCGACGGTCCCAGATACTTCTTTGCCGCTTCTGAGTTGCGAGTATTTTTTAACGAAAGGTGACAAATTTCTTTCAGAATGAGCTACCTTCGATTGACTCAGATTGACTGTCAGATATGTTTGCGAAGATGTTGTCCATGACCAGGAAAATTCGTGCCGATTTTTTTTTTTGCGCTCGTCTAACCGATCTCTCTTTTTCTAGTACCTATTTCCTTCAGAAAAGGAAAAATATGCGCACGCGATTGCACGTAACTGTTCGCTTTCCTTTGTTTACATAATTTGACGTGCCAGTGTTCAATTTAGTCCCAAAAAAACCTACGGCTGCCGGTGCGTTCTTATTTGATCTTTAATAAAGGTATTCAAAGGCGGAACAACATAGACAACTGGACGAAATGACAAGGAAGGTACAGGTCGTTGACTGTTTAACTTCTCTCGAAGAGTGAAGAATTAAGAAGATGCAAAATCAAAGATTTACCGTATCCCGTTGGTAAAATGGCCAAAACATTTCTGCCCGAATACATCGCATCTAAACACTGGACTTATTCGGGTTTTAAATTAAGGTTACAATACCAACTCCGAGATATAGCGACTTGAACGCTGCTATAAAACGTGGCGACCTGAACAGCGATAGCGTCGATTTGAAGATGACAAAGGATACGAGGCAAAAATCGAGCAAACAAACGACTCGTCCCTAAGGAATTTTTTTGCTCTCTAAACACGAGACCAGCCTAAACCAGGCTCTCTCCTCGCTCGCTCCAGGGGGCGGGAAGATGAGAGACCCTGGGAACGAGGTTGTGCATGATCATCTAATCGGCGTTCAAAATACTCCAAGACACTGGTGTTTTCAGCGTGAAGATTTCTACGAGCTTGACGAAAAAGGGATGGAATAGAGCTCTCGAAAATTGCTCTAACTCATCAATCCTGTCAAGGGCCGCCATGTTATTTTCTATCAATCTTCCGCTGACCAAATTGACATTGGGCACAATAACCATATATATATTTTTCGCGCATTCGCCCCATATTTATATCGTAAATTATCTCTAGATATGCAAGGAATAAAAGTTGATACAAACAGATTCACAGCCGACATTTGTTTTTTTGGAAAAGAATATGGAAACCAATGATACAAATATGTGTCTGTATGAATCATGTGTATTTGGTCCATGCCATATATATTCCATACATATCATATTTATTTGATCCATGGCATATATATTTAACTTTTGCACTTTATTTTTGCGCCAACAATATTGTCCCATACGGCACGCCATATGCAGCTGAACTGGACCAGCCTGGTTGAATATTGCCAATATATAAATAGATTAATACGGTCTTCCTCATTCACGACTACAAAATGCGTGTAGTCTTTCACACGAATGTGAATGAGAATTTATATTTCTCTAGAGTTAATGATTCTGAAATGCGTTCCTGCGTCGGATAAAATGCGAAGTTGATCATTCGCTTCAAGAAACTGCCGTTTAGTTACTTAATATAGAGTGCAATATTGGATTTCTGTTTTGCAGTCGCTCGTCATTCACACATTTTTAAAGATAAATAGATCATGCACGCTGATAACTGACATGCTTTGTAAAAGGCCAAGCTCAGTTTGCATTTCGTAATTATTTTGCAAAATGATCGCTTAATAGAAAACATAATGACATTTTCCAAACCTTTGTTACAAATTTGGACACGCACACTTCTCTAACCCATCATAACTTCATAATTGTTTGCATTTCATATTAAAGGTCCTTTAAGATGTTTTCAAAGGTTTACCTTTTACCTCTTTATGCCTACAGTAACCCTTTAACTTCCAGGGTGACCAAGACAGACTTTATCCTTACAATATCAACACAATATCCAGCAGACAAGAGATGAGAATAAAGAACACACTAACAATCAGGGGATAGTTAGTTGATCTCATACCAAATTCTCTGAGTTAATATCAAATGAATTTTATGGCAGACAGTGAGGAGAACTACCAAAATGAATGAGATCTTGGTAGTGAAGGGTTTAATACATTTAAAACCATTTCAAAATCCTTAGTTCCCAGAAATCACCAAATGCATGAGTGTTGAAAAGATTCCCTACCCTCATTGCTGATGTGTGCTTCAGACTAACTGATAAACAAAAGTGGGGGTTCTAAACTGCAGACTGGAGTTGAGTGTTGACAAAACTTTCCTTTTGCAATTAAATAATTTCAAGCTCTTATTTTTCTTTTCAACACTTAATAGGCTTCTCAAATGATCCGGGCTTATATTTGTTGTGAAACTAAATCTCAATAAACAAAAAGTAAAGGTAAAGGTATTACCTGTTTGCCACAGGTTTAAAGGCAATAAGTTCCTTCACAAGTTCATATGCCTCACCTTAAAAGAACATCCAGAAATACTGTATGGACAAACTATCTGGGCTAAAGGACAGTGATTCTGGATATGATCATCCATTAACTCACGGGGTATATTCACTTCACCACACCCTTCAGGACATGACAGTGGGAACTTTGTGCAGGTCTTCTCATGGTCCTGAAAAAATGTGGGAAAGGAAATCTGTTAGTTATTGGTATCAACCTTAGCCAATATACCTTACATAATAACAGCATGGTTTTTCCTAAGATCATTTTCCCAAAGGAGACTAAAATAAAATTAAGTAAAAAAGGGGAAAGTAAAATAAAAGATACACTAAATACTGAGAGGAAATTAGGACGGCTGAGAAATTAGGATGGCCGAAAAATTAGGGAGATGGAAGGAGAAAATGAAGAGGAATGAAGAGTTAATCGCAATTAAAATCAATTTCCCAAGCAAGAAGTGCAATGATGGCTATATGCTGGTGCTAATAGGCTACTCTGCATGAAGCAAACCATTCATTTCCATAAACCACACCTTTTGTTCTGCTTGAGTTATTAGCACTTTACACCACTGACAAGGTATCTTCTTGTGTAAGCAGGTCTTTTCTATGTGCTCCTGTAGGTCTTGTGCTAGTAATTGGATGTTACAGCCTGGGTTTGGACAATGAACTTTCCTAAAATCACACTTGGTTAGGTGTTCCTTTTAGGCAAGAGTGGAAAAGAAAATAAACACAGCTAAAATTCCAATTAACATAGAATTGCACATTGAATCTGTAATGTGAGAGGTGATGAAGAAGTCTACACATATGTGCCATAAACAATACCATTAATATAAAATTAAGGTAAATAAGTCTGAAGATGACTGAAATCACAATTTATACTCTGTTTTTTATCTCATACATTACAATTATATTGAGGAATCATCTTGTGCACAACCAAACTAACAATGAAGTGTGCCCAAAAATAAAGGAACCAAACATGTGGTTGAAAATTGATTGTGAAAGACAACTGCACACAGTTCTTTCACTACTTTACAACATGAATATTTCTATAATGAAAGACTGGTGGCAATTTGACTTAATCTGTGCCTATTTCAAAAAAGAAACTTACCAAGAGATTCTGTAGCTTTCCCTTCCACTTGCAGCCAATATCATGATTGTTGCAGAAACAGATTAACTGGTTTATTTCCCTTTGACATGAGATGTCTTGAAAGGATGGATTCACATTCTCTCCATCCAGTGGACACAGTCCTTCCAAACTTAAGGGTTTATTTGGAAAAAATATAAATTTTTGTTTCTTATTTACATTATAACCTACATAACAGGCTGAGGGTTTATGTATCTGATAGTATTATATCTCCGACACTAGGCAATACATTTATTGAATTAAGATATTTTTTTCACTGTTCCTTGTTTCTTTCCTTCTTAATTTTTTAAGACTCCCACAAGACAGTTTTTAACACTTAACAATAGCCTTATCATCATGCTTTGAAGAGAGATGAAATACACAATGTTTGTCTCTTCACAAATGATTTTTTCAAGTCATCTAACAAGTGACAACCAATAATCATGAGAAAACAGTGGCTTTTCTGACTCCCTCAAGTTAAGCAAGTTGGCAAACTTCAATGAATTTGTTGTTAAACTTATTCCTCCAAACAAGGTAACTTGGGCCAGTCTGCATTTAATTTCTGCAAATAATTTCTGCTTGTGAGAGGTCATTTATCCAATACTTAAGGTTTTTAAATTGGAAAAAGAACACACCTATTTTTATGTTTCCAACAAAACAAGGTGACTGATCATGAAGTTCACGATCTCAGAAGCTTCCCTTTTCAAATGGTATAATTCTATATTTCCTTCCTTTCATCAGTGACAATGCAAAGCAATAAGCAACATGCTAACACTGTGTGCATCTTCAACCATATCACTCACATTAATCTTTTTATTTAATCGTGGATGCTCTCCTTAATTAAGTAAAAATTGTACCAAGTCTCAAATATGATTGGTTATCACCAGCCTGATTTGAGTGCTAATAGGACAGTCTAGACATTATACTGGTAATTGGACAGTATGCGTCGTATCATGCATTACGGCGAGTAAAGGTTTTTTTCTTTTTTTTTTTTTTTTTACAACTGTCAATATAAATTTTAAATCGTTTAACATGTCTGAAACCAGAATACATTCAGGAATGTTAATGAAGACATCCCGCGTCAAGAAAACACGGCCGATCACAACTATAACTGCGATCCAGCGAATTAAAAAATTTTCTACATGCGAAGCCTTGAATTGATGTTTTACCGATCATTGGAAAACACAACTACGATAGCTCACGGTCGTTGCAACATGCGTTTGTTATTGTCTGTTGGATCCAAAGCTCACCGCTTGTGGCACGCAACGAATGAAAAATAAAATTCATAACCTACGATAATATCACACGACAGCGAACGTACTAACTCACCTTACAGAAGCTTTAAAGCATCTTGAACAAAATCTGTGGCCACATGCAGTTTGCAATGGATCTTTCAGTACATGTTTACAAAGAGGGCAGGCATAACGATCTGGTAGCTTGTCTTCAAATTGAACGTTATCAATTGTGTTATCCATTGCTATTGTAAGTCTTTATAAACTCCTCCGTTTAGTGCGAAATAAAGCAGCTGAACTAGAACTTAAAAAGAATGGAAACCGTAGGTATGGGTTAGAAACCAAAGCCACAATATGCTTACACTGCACAAGATTCTTGCTTGCGTAGTTCGTTTCGGTTTCGATAGATAGTCTCGTTCCCAGTCGCAGCTGGCCAAAGGGTAATTTTAATCTCGCGCCCGGGGTCATTTTGGCTCCTTATCAGCGGTGTGGCATTATCTTTAGCCTCTTCTTCAAAGCGAGTCCTGATGCCCATTCTTTCAGATCAGGCCTGCTTTCATATGATAATGAGTTTTCATCAAAAAAGAATGACGAACATACCGCTGACAAGGAACCCAAATGAAGTGGCTCACAGCGTTCTAAAAATACCGCCAACTGGTGCCTTTATTACAACTTTCCAGAAACGATCATGGCTTTGGTTGCTCCCTTCCTTTGTAGTATAATTTTCATAATCTTCCTATGTAGTATAATCCTTCCTTTGTAGTATAATTTTCAGTCCCCGAGACCTGGATGTTTAATTCAAGTTATTTTTAATCACATACTTACCTGTAGCAGTCCATTAGAAGCGTCAAACAAATAGGCACTTATCAATTATGCTAACATAATTTTTGGCATCATTTCATTTGGAAAAACGAGCATAATGTTTTGCGCTTTTTCTAAAAGTAGCACTGCTGCATAATCGGTATAAATTTAGTTTTTTGAAGGGAACACTACCAGAGTCATGACTTGCTTGGTCTCTAAGGTTGATTATTTTTAAGTTCTGTCCTTGGCTCAGTCTATTTTCAATCCTCTGGGGGAGGGTAAGAAAGTTACTACGATATTGCATTGTTGGTCGTCTAGAGGACTGGGAACACCGGATCTCCGGAAGGGAAGATTGCGTCGGTCCCAGTTCCCGCCTTCGCAGGCAACAAACTTAGAAGGAGAACAGCTTCCTGATAGGCCAGAACCCGCTCAAATTGGAAGAGATCGGAGCCTGAAGAAGACCAACAGCAAATACAAGACCAGGGGGACATCTGACGTGAAAAAAAGTGCCATTACATGCTCGCATCAATCAGTTTCCAGCTCATTATCTAAGTGTTGGAGGCAACACGATATTTTGCAGTGCTTGCAGAGAAGTTGTTTCACATAAAAGCATTTTGGCATCCTATTGTGCTTCCAAAAAGCACGTCAGTGAGAAAGAAAAGATCAAGAAGTCGAAGTTGAGAGAACAAACCATTACCGAAGCACTCAGTCCAGAGAGGCCGAGTCATCAAAACATCAAGTGTGTAATTCAAGATAAATGACATGTGATGTTTTATTAACAATAAATGTATAATTTTGGTTTTTGGACTAGTTTTGTATGTTTTACTTTTTAGCATACATTAAGAACAAGAAGCATAACTTTCAAAAAACGCACAAAACTTTGAGCATAATAAATAAATCAGTGAAATGTTCGAAACGTTTAGAAGGGGATGAGTATCGAAGCGAGGCATGACAATGATGACCGATATTGAAAATTTCTGTACTGACTTCAAATTTTCAAACTCAAAACTCAACATAAGGCGTTCTCTCTCACACATTGATCGCTTTCGTAACAAGGCTACAAACGTAGCTTAACGGTCGGTTGGTAAGATTCAGAAGCCTGTTGCTCTTTCCAGTGTAAAAATCCGTTGTCGATGTTTTGTGTAGGGCTGACCTCACAAGACCGATCATTCTTTCAAACTGTCCTACCCACCATGGCGCACAGCGGAGGTTGAACTGCCACTGGATCTGACTGGTGGAGAGGTAGGTCTGTAGTCGTTGGTCTTTCATTACAGTTTTCATTCCCTTTGCAGTACCGACAAAGGTTCGACCATTATCCGAAGGGATTCGATCAGGTCTCCCTCACACGCCCGATAAATTTCCTCAGGCTCTTCAAGCACTTTGCCATTTCTAGGTTCGGTGCGATCCAGAAGGACTCCCTGTGTCTGGCTGCAGGCACAAAGGACATATGCCTTCCCTCTTAGACATCGTATAGGTCCAGCATAGACTATTTCGATCAATTGATACGGACTAGTCCCTTGGGTCCGGGTAGTCGGCAAATTTCCAGGGGTAGAAGCTGCGTTCGCAATTGTTTGAAACCGTTTGCATCCATGACAGGCCCTTGGCACTTTCCTCACCAGCTGCCTCAATTTTGGGAGCCAATACCAACTGCGCGCCTTACCCATAACATAGTTAGTTAGTCCCCTCTACTAACTATGGCCATAATTAGCCTCACTCTTCCATGTTGTGTTTTCCGGTATCCTCCCTCCGCTAATCGAAAACTCGCAGACTCAGATTGCTTGTGGGTACCAGGTATATTGGTTACTGTAGTGTATTGAGAACACAGTAAAAGTACTTGTACTAGTGTTAGTGATATTACTGTAAGATTACTGAGTGATGTGA